TAAGTACCTAACATTATTTAGACCATTGTAGAAACTATACTAATAATGGTGCCTATTTAGTACCTATACTATTAATTAGGAGGTCTTAATAACAATTAATTTAATGTTTAGCTTAACTAATGCATATTTATTTAACTATTTTAGGTTTTATCCTTTGAAGTTTCATATAATACATTACAGAACATCCTCGCTTGTTACATTTTTTTCGTTTGATGCAGTACAGTTTCTATTTAATATTTCTTGTCGATACTTTCACATATAAATTTCTTCACCAACTCGATTTACATTATTTGATAAATTTTTTTGGTTCAGAATATTATCAAAAATGAATCTAACCTTTATTTATAATAAAAGAGTTGGTGCAAGTTGTTGTGTTCTATGTTTCCATAGTCTTGTTGACTTTACTTTCTTTATCCTTCAGAAATTGTTCAGAGGAAGTCATGCAGGACAAATCCGATCTTTGAAGTACAGGGCGTGAGTAATATGCAAGTATGTCATATCTATTTCGTTGGCGTCAGTGAATGGTTTGTGCGAGAAAGTAGAGAGCCTTTGAAACATTGATGGGAAGATAAGTTTTTATATCATGATCAGTGTTGATTTCGAATATCCAGAAAACTGTAAAACATTTGTGCAAATAGCAGATGAAAGATAAAAGACGCTGCAAAGTTTTAGAAATGAGGTAAAATTTTTTACTTGCCTTGTGCCAACAGAACCACGTGTGTTTTATAAAGAAAATGTACATTGCCACTTATTCTTTAAGAAGCTATGATTATATGTATTAACGACTATATACTGTATATAATACTGTATCAGTCGTTAATTTTTATATGTAATATTCAGATAATTCAAGCTCTTGTCTCAGGGAGACGAATGAAATTGGACTTACAACACGGCAAAGAACATTACATTTCCAATGCTGTAATACATACGCCTTTTATAAAAAGTGAAAGTACATATGTATATATACATAATATATGTGTGTATATAAATATATATACACACGCGCACACATACACACACACACATTTTTGTGCCATTTTATCTAATTTGATAGATATATTTAGTCTATTACAGTGCCTGAAGATAATTCGTGGTTTTTTGAAGTGAAAAAATAAAATGTGTGAGGTTAACTTATGAAATTAACAGTAATCATATATTTCTTGTCTAAAATTTAATATAGCTGCCATGTTTGTTACAGTTTCGGTTTTTCAATGTAAGTTACAATAAGAGACTATGGCATCATTATCCCTATTATATTATTTAAAATAATTCCTTTCGAGCTTCAATTTATTTATCAAAATTGTTTAGAATGCAATGTCCTTGAAAATTATATTTATAATTATACCATTGGAAATAAATATAAATTGCAGTACGTTAATTTTTTTTACAATGCAATGTATTATGCATAATAACGAGATTTATCAAAACATAATTACAAGAAAATACTGTGAAGACAGATTTTGAACATATAAATGTCAATACTTGTTTCTCCTGAATCCTATACCGTATAATATGAAATAGTTGTAAAAGGCCATAGTTTATTAGCATTATTTTATTATTACCTTTATTAGGTGTTCAATTTTACACCTATAGTAATTGCTGACTTCTTAAAGATTTATCTTAAGATAGTTTGTTATTTGGATTACAAAATACTGATGTCTTTTTTCAAGGATATAAATGTTTACATCCTTTTTATATGCAAAATATGTTACATTAATCTGATTATTGGTCTGAAATATTCATATAACCATTTATATGTTATTTGAATTATTTTAAATGTACATGTGATGTATATTTTGATTATTCTTAAAGCATTCAGTTGTCAAATATCATGAACATTTGATGAAATTAATATTATAAAATTAGAATATTGGTATAAAGGAATATCACTATTTTCTTTGTTGTAATCTTTTTAATGTACTATAATTGTTTCTGAGAAACATATTATTTTACATAGAATTACACTTTATCTATAGTACAGAAAAAATATTTGTAAATATTCCAGCTCAGTGAGCAATCTGTTAAACGAACATATCACAACGTTTCAGAAGTAGTGGAAGAAATGAAAGATTACTACTGCATAGATAATATTTTCTTTGTTAATTACGAAATATTCACAGTTTCTCATTTTGCTTGTAAATACAATTTCCTAAAACATGCCAGTTTTTCCTACATTGTACATCATTTATAAGTGATAATATTAATAATTGTAATACGATATTATTTCCTTTTATTTTTACAATTTTCTTCACAGAGGTCAAACTCTGAATAGTTAAATCGAGAAATCGATAAATTAATTTTTGTCAGAGTAAAGTAGACAAATCGAAGCTAAACATTTTCAAACATTTCTGTGGGAAGAAACAAATAACATTTTGTAAATGAAGAAACGAGGAGCTTTAAAATATTTCTACAAAAATAATATTGTCAGTCAATACAGTTAGTAACGATTGATTAAGTCTTCTCGAGTATATGTATGTTACATACTTTAATTTCTTAAAGATGTTAAAGGAGCTTTTTTATGAAATATAAATGTCAATTATATTAAAGAAGTCCTTGTGGATATAACTGACAACTGTGTTCCTTGCAATTTTTACTTCTAATAATTTCAAACAGAAAAAAAACGGAAACGGAAACAACTGTTTAAAGATTTAGAAGTAATATCCACGTTCAATCGAGAATGTGATATCAGTATTGGAAAATTGCAAGGAAAACAATCGAAAATCTATTAATTATTTACAAGGACTAATTACCTAAGTTCTTGCCTTCTTAATATATACGCACAAAGTCTATTTAAATATGCCTTCGCGCGAAAAGGACCATTAAGAACGAAAATCTTCTAAATATATCGGCGTGAATGAAAAGGATCAATCGATGATATTTTTTTACTTTATCATTTGGCACTTAGAATGCGCTCTTGCTCGAAACCACGGGGGCTCTGGCAGCACTCCGTACTTCAGTTTTTAATTTACACTAGATTTTTAAGAGTTCCGTGTCGTACAATTTCCATGAAACAGTTTTTCGGCGAAGCGTACACCAGTTACTAACACGGTATATGGACATATTTAAAATGTATTTAAAAAAATATTAAATCAAATCCTATAAAAGTAATTTATTGGTTTTACACAGATAATTACCATAGAAGCGTAATTAACTTAAAAATGTGAACTATATCTTCTTCTCTAAATTTTTATTCAAGTCATACAGTATTATTAATATCGTCATCTCGAGAGAGATATCAGTTTGATTCGAAAATTCATATATGTATTTTGCTATAACATATGTATATATATATTTTTTTATGTC